GCCCGCGCCGGACCCCTCCTGCTGCGCCTACGCCGTAGACGACGCGTCGGTCGGGCCCGCACGCTCGAGCAACGAGTCTGGCGCAATCCACGCGCCGGAAGAGGAGGCGGGCGATGGGCCGTGGGGAGCGCAGCACAACAGTCTGCCAGGCGTGGAACATGGATGGATCAACATACCCTCTTGCCCACCATCGCGATCTACCGTGGACACACACTTTCCTTCGACCTCTGCTGCTCATTACGAAGACGTGGACACTCTCCTGCCATCTGCCATGCGCTCACATCTACCGAAGACAGTAGACGATACGACAGCTACATACGATTTCTGATTTCCTCCATCATCACTTTTCCTTCTTCTCTCCCTTTCGCCATGCTCGTGATCCCCCTCCTGTTCCTATGCATAGACGCGTCCGCCTATGCAAAAGCAAGAGAGGCTTTCACCAGAGAGCAAATTCGTCTCTAATGAAGATCAATCCGAGCCATCATTTTCCACTTCATCTCACAGCCTCATCTTCACCCTTCTGTCTCCTTCACATTCCGACTCCACATTCCCCTCCCCCTATCTTATCCCACCCCCTCAGAATCGCCAGGTTTCCTTTTTTTCGCAGAACAATTTCGAGAAGCACAAAACTTGGGTCGTCTCCTCGTCCTCATGAGCCATAGCGAGCGCGCACGAGAACCCCCTCCAAAAAGCCTCGATCTCGAGCTCTCTTGCGTAGGCGGGAGGAGGGGAAGCTTGTTGATGAAGGCAGTACGCTGGACAACGGATGCTCGCTGCTCCAAGGCCATCAAACGGGCCATCACTCCGTTCTCCAGCTGTGTGTGTCATTACGCTGGTTTTTGATGATCAAGTGGATCCAGCTGGGGCGGTGCGTGGCTTGGTCAGCAATAGCTGCTGTACGAAATCTGGCCTGAGAAGTCGTTGGGGATCATCATCATCTGCGCTGGCCAGGCTGCTGGCTAAGCTGACACTGGCTGGTTTGTCGGTTTGTGTGTTGGTCGTTAATCAATAGATATGGTGCAGAGAGATACGGTGGAGCCGCAGCAATAGCGTCACAGCTCTCGAGAAGGGGGAGGCGGCAAAGAAGGCCGGCGCGAACTTGAAAGCGTTCGAACACTCCTAACTTGTGGGCGGGATCGGGCATTTACTTTCGTTCGGAGATCTCTGGAGCGAGCGGCCTGCCTGGAGGACAGCTTTAGACAGGCAGGGCCTTTCTTTGACAAATGCCGTCTTCTCTCTCTCACACACTCTGGCTGTCGCATCTTGTCGATTGTTGACGAATCACTCATGACCGATTTTCCGTGTAAGCTTGCCCGAATGTAATAGAAATCCGTTCAAAGACAGAAGGTGTGTTTCGTCGAATAAGACGTTCAAAGTTGGCCATCGTCCGTGTAGAAGTCGAAATGGAGAGTTCCGACCTGGTCGATTTCTTGTTTGAACCACGATCGATTTGAATAGAAACTGGTGCCTCCTCCACCTCCCTCTTCTTCTTCATTTATCATTCATCATTCATCATTCATCATTCATCATTCATCATTCATCATTCATTATTCATCATTCAACCTTCATCATTCATCCTCCACATTACATTGTGAAGACGGCCGGCGTCCTCATCGTGCAAAACAAGCCTGCCTGCTCGAGCAAGCAAAAGGAAAAAAACCTTTTCATTTCCCTCGCTCTCACTGTTTTCTTCCCTGCTTGATCAACAGCCGCAGCAGGGAGGGTGGAAAAATAGAAGCCAGGATTTTTTCTGATGAACAACAACGCACGGTAAGTTCGCGGGCCGGCCACTCACTCGCTCACTGACTCGCTGCAGGAAGAGGTGAAAGAAAAGCCATCAATGAAGAAGAATCACATCACCTCATCTCACCTACCGAGCGTCCTCGGCAGGCGTTGAGAAGAAGTGATGGCTCAGCTCCAGCAAGCACCAGAGGTCGGGACGCCATTTGGAGATGTTGTTGAGTGTAGTGTGAGGTCGTTTTGTGTGTATGTGTAACACTTGACTGTGGTGAGAAGCAAAGATGCGGAGAAGCCGTGCTCGTGGGGGATGATGATATTTGTTACTTGACACCGGCGGGAAT